TCTTCATTTTATTATTCTAGATCCCCTGTACCGTAATAGGGGCGTTACATTTGTTTTTCATCTTTCTCTGTTCACCTGTTTCTGCTTGGGGTTGGGGTAACTTGTGGTAAATCACAAACTTTATATCTCTAACGTTGAGAGCTAGGCTTGGGGATATGATCGTTGTGGTGTATGGTGTTGCTCTGTACATACGAAGAAATCTGAAGAGTTGTTCTTTCCGGTATGGGCTGTTCTGATAACTTTGACTATATAGGCATCTCTTAAACGTTCAATGCAGTACATATCCATTGGCTCTCGGCCAGAGTGGGGTTATCTTCCGTTGTCGGAATCCTTTATTGAAGCGATGACGTTTCAGTCTTAGAAGGGGGCAGTGGCGCCTCAACATGTTGGCCGAGGAGCAGCTAAAGGGTGGCAGAGCAATGTTTAAATGGTTAAGGGGGGAGGACCAACAAAAGGGGACACTTTCTGGAGAAAAAAAGGGCACCTACAAAGGGAAACCTCAAAGCGAAAATATACAATTTGTATACATCGGTATAAAGGCCCTTATACCCCTTACATTGTGGTTTGATTATCAGGAATAATTTTATTGTTTGTTTCTCTCTTCACATGGTCCATACTTTGCAGTTTGTGTGATGGTTAAAATATTTATTTGCAAGCGAGCACAAATTTTGAAATTTGTGTGGTGGCAGTGCGAAAATTTACATTTTTTAAAGAGGAAAAATAATCCTATTCACGAAAGATTGAAAAGATCTTCAATACGAAACAAAATTTGTTAATATAAAAATGCGAGCGTACAAAATATAAGGGGCATCTCTCAAATTTGAAAAGAGTTAAAGAGGTGAAGGGGCTCCTATCAGATTTTAATAGAGGCATTTATCAGAGGCGTGAGAAGGGGCACTTATCAGAGATGAATACGGGCACTTATGAGAATTGGAAGGGGCACTTATAACAAAGGAAATGGACACTTGTTAAAGTAAAAGGGGCATCTCTCAGATTTTAATAGGGGCAATTATCATATGTGAAAGGAGCACTTAAAAGAATGTGGCACTTATTAGAAATAAAAGGGGCACTTATTTTCATATATAAAAAGGGGTCACTTTAGGGGTACTTGAAGAAAAAAAAATGGGGGGGGGCACTGTGCCAATAGAAAACATGTTTGGATTACGTAATGCGTCATAGTAATATTCGCACACTCAGAAGGTGATGGACAAGGCTGTTGGATTGCCTTAATTTATATTTTGGAAGTCTTTGCGATCATGTCCGTGGTGTTTCTTACTCTCTGATAAACTACCTAACTGACAACATGGAATCTAATATCATATTCCTACTAGATTGTATATCTCAGCATGTTTGATTCTCTTAACAATCAGGCTCTCGAATCAGATTTTTAAAAAATCAAGCAAAACATTCATCCTCATAAACATAAACTTTCAGTCTTACGATTTTCGCTAGCTCTTATCGAATAACACACAATGAAACAGTATGAAGTCATATATATCAATATTTATTCATAATTTATATAAGTACTCTGCAATTTAATGTCATCCATTAAACGAAAATGATAATTACGAGTGAAACAAAGGGGAGCTACCACAATACAATTCAAAGATAGTACTAGTGTAAAATAATGAAATATAAATCTGTATGCTACTAAGCGCATACACTAGTAGTTTTATGAGATGCGAGCAAATATAAATGCTTTTGATACAATCATTCTAATATTGAGCATTTTTAATACTGTCTATAGATGTAAATCTATTGGATTCGAATAGTTTATCCATGATGGTGCTAGATTATCATCATTCGATGCACACTGTTAGATTTAACCCACAACATCACCATAAAGGATATAAATATGAAACATATATCAGGCATTTTGACACTGAAATAGAAAATGTATTTTGCATGCTTTATTCATTGGTTGTGTGCCTCAATACATCATATACCACTTTTTTGTGGTACATATGTAATTTTCCCATTAGTTTACTGAATATAATTATCATTAATAACAGTATTTTATCTTAATTATGTCTGAGGCAGTTGTGCAAAGTGTGTATTTACACTTGGTACAAAGTGGATGTGCAATGGGTATACATCCTAAATATTACCAACCAATAGTTTCTCTTCTTGTATATGTAAACACAGTGTATGAAATGTATTACTGTAATGCTGTTGGTCAATCAAATCAAATCAGATCGCAATCTAATATTTTGGCTCAGAATGCCTGACATGAATAGAATGCATAACCTAACACAAGGTGGATCTGTAGGCAAACATATTTGTTTGTGGGTCTGCACAATAGACATACATCTTATATTGATAACAATGATATTAGCTGGTCCTACTTCATGGGGATCTTGAATACATTACCTGATACAAAATCCCATTACCCTTGTGGAGGACTCTGGGAAATACAACTCTAGCTTGGGTGATATATTCTTGTACTAAAGTGGAAGTCCATGCTGATAATTAGCTGATATTATTCAAAGCAGAAAAAACAAGAGAGACAAATAATTATTGAAAAATCGAGCAATATCCGATCAAACGTAGGAAAGTTATGAGTTTTTTAATTTGTCATCAGTGAAACACAAACGGGCAACTCTGTGACGTATCTTGCGAGGTCCTCACCAATTTGCTTAGTACAGAAAATTTCATCAACCTCATTTTCTTAGTTATTGATAGCAGAAAAAATTTGTTTCATACAGGGGTCGTACAGAAACAGATTTTGTTAAAGTACAGAGCAAATGGACGGGGACCTCGCTAGATTCGTCACAGAGTTGTCAATTTGTGTTCGATTGATCGCACCTTCAAAAATTCATAATTTTCTTATTTTTAATCAGATTTTGCTCAAACTTTCACTGACCGGTTCCTTTAATTTGTCTGCTTCTATTAAAACCAACGTAATATCATAGCGCACTTCCCCTCTAAGTCCCATGATTTGCCATCACATATTTGCTAAGTTACTGATGTAGTACATGGAGATGAGAGGGATAGTCGTACGGTTTTGATGAAGGCAAATCTACGAGGAATGAATCACTAAAAAAATTCTTTGTTCTAGCATCTAGTTAGCTTTTCTATTGTGTTTTGCCTTTGATACATCACACGATTTTTGCTACATTTTGAGCTTCAGAATAGACAATAGCTCACTACACTTACTACAGCTAATAAAATGATTGTAACACAAACAAGACAGTCTCAATTATTCTTCAATTGCACACTAACATTAAGACAATGCTTTATACTGTACCATGGAATGCTTTTCAGGACATTGAATATGAAATACTGTTTGAAAACTCTCACATTCATGTTATCTGTTTGGAGCCAGAAAAGCGTTGACTCTACTAGTACATTAACGCATGTGAGTTAAGGCCCTAATATAATGGCCCGAATTCACAAAGGAGGTTTAGGTTTAACCCACGTTTTAACGCATCATATGACGACATCACGCCAAGCTTAGACCATGGATTATTACCATGGGTTAGATTTAACCCAGGCTAAATAACCCACGATTTATAAAACCTTGGGTTAAATGTAAACCCCCTTTGTGAATTCGGGCAAATATCTTCCTCATAATTAAACATGCAAGGTTTGAATTCTTAAACACAGCAGTGGTTCTAATTAAAAAAAGAAAAATCTTTCCCAGGTCATCTCAAATACAGGCCATCTAAAACATTGTAATCTTAGGCATATATCAAATACATCTCATACCTGCTGACTCCTTTGTAACAAGAAAACAAGATTTCTGATGTTTTTATATTTGTATAAAACTTGTATGAAACACTTGTGTATTGAAACAAGCTTTAGAGAAAGGTTAGCTAATCTTTGGAAATATACTACATGTCCAATGAGAGACCATGGATTAATAATGGTCGAAAATTCAGAAATGCAACGACTAACTTGGATAATGCATGGTACATAATTGCTGAAATCCATTTTAGAGATAGCATTGCTCTCAAACAGGAACATGCACATTCCTCACATCATGGTATGACTAGATGGGTTTTTTTTGGTGACATAATGGCAAATATAGTCTCACAAAATATTACATTTCCAATGAATGTTAGAAAGTTCAAATAAAACATATCTGCTGAAATAATTTGATATAACGGCTGAGAGATATAAATAGATATACATAGGATAATGAGCCTGCCAGGAATGTAATACACTATGGTGTCCAAAATACATGTATAATTTTGTTCATTTGTCAGTGTACAATCTTTTCAGCAAATGCAGGGCAAACAGAGTCTTTTAATACTCGTGAAAGCCGTCAGTATTTTCAAAATCATCTCTCTTGCTTGCTTAATGAGCAACCTCCCTTTCCCACATGAGAAAGCTAGCAATGGATATAGTCAGAGCCAGAAGGGTGTTATATCTGTATTAAAGGGATAGTTCAGTTCTGTTTTCAGACTGCAAATGCCTTCAAAGTGCATGGTTATTGCTCTTATTCTTATCTATGACATTTCTAGTGCCCTTTTAGAACCTAAAATTGCTATGAAGGTAATTTTAGACCCCAAAATGTGTGAAATTTAGCCAATACGAGCATACCAATTCAGCTCCACTTGCAAAAAAAAATGGTGACCGTTAATTAATTATTTAATTAAAAATAACAATACATGGGCTGGCTGGTTGTGCGTAATATAAGCAACACGAAAATGCCAACAAAAAAGTCAACATCAGCATTGGCTGAAATACGACGTAAAAGGCGTCATTTAGTTTTCTCAACATTTTTTTTCAATTTTTTCCAAAATACCTAATATTTGTGATGGTACACAAGTATTAGAAATTGTTATACCAGCCGTCTCTGAACCGATTTTGATCAAACAAAGATGGTTTTGTCATTTAAATATTACGTTCTTTCAAATTTGACATTCAGTTTTTCATTATCTCACAAAAAATTTATTTTGTGTAGCGCCCTCTGCAACAGAACTCAACTATCCCTTTAAAGTACATAAGTTAATGCCCTTCTCGCTCCAAACGAACAATATGCAAATGACTGCTGGATAAACTCTGTTTCACAAATGACGATATTCTACCACAACACCCACTGAATGAAATCCTATAAACCACGTATTTTGCATTGAATCCTAAATAAAGCTATGGGTGGCATCACGCCTTTCCTAGCGCCTTCTTGATATCTTTGACCAGCATGTTACCAATCACCATCTTCTCGCAGTTAGACGTGATCCTAGCTTTGCCCTCGCTCAAGACCTGCACCGTCAACAGGGCCGACGTCCCGGCGGATACCGTCCTTCCGGAGAACCTGGTTTCACAAGACATAGAGGAAGGTCAACTGTTACTCTTTGGGGTCGTTTTCACAATTTTAAGTTGGACTAACTATGGCAGGCTGTTCATGCCACTGTTTGCTCTCACCGTTTACGGGCATCGGTCTCTCAAGGGATGTACAAATCATGGTCATTGATTATTCATTATTGTAGGAAAATATCTTATCTAAAGATCATAATGATATTTGAAAAACAATACTAATGTAGAACTTCCCCCAAAACGAAAGGGCTTGAAAATGGCTTGTAAAGGCCAAAATGAAACTGATTGAATCTTTGAGCAGCACAAAACGTACGACCATCTTTAATCTGAGGTCTTACCTGTATATGAGTTTACTGGGATCACTGGCTGGGACGATCTGAATGTTGGCCGTCTCACCCACACACCTGATCAAATCTTTCTCTTCTCTGTTGCTTGCGTCTATGTCGCACTTATCGGAGTGTTCATTCATACCCGTAAGCTTAGCTGTCAAATAAAGAAAATAACAATGACATACATACATACATCAGACAATTCAGAGATATCTGTGCATAAACAGATATAGGTTATTGTACCAAATTGGAAAACTGACTGAGAAACCTACTAGTTTGGCTATAAGACAAGGACAATAATAAAAGATAAATAAATGGAGATTAAATTGGGCGTGGGCACAGCCTCTTTGTTGTTCAGTCATACTGGGAGGCTGCTTGAAAGCTAATCTACTGTGCTATCAATCAAGGACATTTAAGCCTTCCAAACCGGTATGAGCCAGGTGGATGCTGCAACTGGAGCCCAAATGTTCGATCCTACATAACTTTCGAAATATAAGGTCAAAATTATGAATAGCACAGTGCCCCAATGTCAGTATGATCTTTCACAATGCACGTTTGTTTATTCCATTTGCTAAGATTACGGTAAATTTTGTCAATGAAGGAGAACAAGTAGTTACAGCCTATCTGCACTAGTTTGGCTAGTAGGGATTAGACCTCCCTGCATGGTCACTGACAGATGGTCATCTCATCAAATCAGCTCTCAATTAACATAAGAAAAAGGGAACCATGGGGGAACAATGGTCACTGATTAGGCATTGTTTGCTATATAGAGGGTGCAAGTATAGCTATAAGTAGTGCAGTGGGGCTTTAAAAGATTCAAGGTTGATTAAAACTGATGATGAGCTTACATTGTTGGCCTAAGAAGTCTCTTTCACTGAGTGCGATGGGTTGTAAGAGTTCTCCTATGGGTGCTTTCACCGTCACACTGAACTTCCGCGATTCAGTACTGAAAAGAAGACAAAAAAGACAAAGAAAATCATACAAACATGAAAGTAAAATGTAAAAGACTTTCCCAAAAATCAACCTTAGGCAAATTTCAATAACCTTGTCCACCATCTTTTAAAATGCTTCAACCTTGCAATGATGTACTACGTAATTGGAACATGATTTCCACGGAAAATACAATAGGGTATTGAAATTTCCCTTAAGCTGATTTTTTTAAAGTGTTTTCGATCGTGTTTGAAGAGCATATTAAATGGTATCTCATTCTTAGTACAGTTGTCTTATACCAAGGAAGTCTCAAATAAAACAAAGTACATAGATTACATTTTTTTTCTGACAGGAAGCCTGAAAATTAATTAAAGTGAACCAATTATGCTCTTAATGTAAGGGGTTCCATGTATTATATACTGCATTAAAAATCTAGCCTTTGAATACTAATTCTACAAAGTTATATTGTAGTTTAAAATACAGTGACAGTGTACACAAGTACTGTTTCTTAGGGGCAGGTGAGGTTACAGTGGAAAACACCCAAGAAGAGATCCAAGGGTTACAGTCACCAACTTTGCTTTTCACCTCCCGGACGATGCTTAAAGTATAAGTGAATAGTTGAGCTGATTAGAAAGACAAAAATCTAAAAAAAACCAATACAACTTGGTTTTGGAAAATGGTGCTCACGACTTATTTTTAATAATTTGTTTAATGAGCAAAACACAAGTAAATGATCGAGCCGGTTCTCCCCCACAATGGATTTTTTGTGACGTGGGGTCCTCACAACACAGATTCGTAGTGTAACCAAATTTAATGCATACGTCTTTGTGAAGTACCTCGATACAAACTATTTCAATCACCTGATAAGATAACAGTATTTCAACAGTCAGAATGCAAACTGCATATATTAAGTGTTGTTAGGTAGGGTAAGTCATAATGTTTGTCTTACCTGGCAGCAACTAATGTTGCAGTTTGGATTCTATTGTCTATTGAAATACTATTATTCTTATCAGGTGAATGAAATAGTTTGTATCGAGGCACATCACAAAGACGTATGCATTAAATTTGGTTACATTACAAAAATACCCTATTGTCAGAATGTATACTGCTGGCACTTTCGTTGTGAGGAGCATACGTCACGTCCGTGCGGCAATTTAAATGTTTTGCTTGAAATATCCAAAACAAAACCACTCTTAAAAATCACCTGATTGAAGTACGCCGTGATATTTGGCAGTTTTAACCTTTGATTTATTTACAACATGCTATTATTTTTGAAAATTGGAGTGGACTTGGGCTTTAATAATTATAATATTAACAATAATTATGATTATAATATTAATAATAATGATAATAATAATCGTCATCATCATCATCACCACCATCATTCCTTAATTATCGCTGAACTTACCAGATCTCAAAATTGGCAGGTTGTGTTGTGTCCCTGAAGTCAATGCCAATGATTGCCGTTGTGGACTGACTGACGGAAAGGTTGGTGATCTCTGGGAACTCGTGCAGTTTCATACCAGCTGCCAACTTGGTCTCTCCTAAAAGAAATGGACAAACAAGATGAATATAAAGGCGTCTTTCATATGCTTCTGGAGTCTGTCTGCATGTTTGTTTGTGCGTTGATGAATGATCCTGTGACCTTTAACATTTGACCATTTGATTCATTTAACCAGACTTGGGGGGGGGGGTGGACGGACGGACATACTGCTTTAAGTCCTATACTAGGGACTTGGTAACAAGAATTAATGTAATCCAACTTGGATCCAAACCTGCATTAAGTCTTTAATACTACTTTAAAGGGATTGGGTAACTTTGTCTCAGATTCTGAAACAAATTCCTGGATTTAGCTCATGCTGCAATGATAATTATAAACCTTTAGGTCAGTCAGGAACCTGTCTGATTATAAAGATATTCATGTTTCGGAATCAAAATCAAATTTTGCGTGTTCCTAACAGTTGTCATAATACTACTGTCTATTGAGTAAAACAAGTTTGGCAAAACCGGTCACTCAAAGATCTTTACTTTTTGAGGCACTTGTTGATCATTTTAAAGGGCAATTTTTTTTAAGGCGTCAATATTACACCATGTCACAGACACTGATAACACAAAGGGCCATGCATCTCAGATTTAACATTGTTAACCGATGCCTTTCAGTCCTATTCTAGGCACTTGGATTAATGAGAAATTAATGCCATCCAACTTGGATTTGAACCTGTGACCTCCTTGCCTAAAACCCCACCCACCACTGTACCATTGATCAGTGCACCTCCTCAAAATATAATTTGTAACTCATTGATGTTATCCTATCCTCCTTCGTACCTAGTCTGCAAGCTCAGACCCTATATTTGACACTTCATTACAATTAAATAATTATTGTTTCTTGAGTGAAGCCTAGCCCAGTTCCTACTTTATTTCATACTTTTATACATGTATTATTGAAAGAAATTTGTATGGCAAAAATATTCGATTCTGACTTAATGCCAAATAAAACCAAAAGAAGAAGAAGAAGATTATGTCAATGTCAGGAGCAGCAAAGGCCTATGAATGTTTGTTGTTGTTGTTTTAGTTTGTATTGGCGTGCATCATTTATTTATGAATATTTACGCCGTAAGTCTCTGTATAGTCTCCTAGCTCAGACCCTGTTTTTACATTACGGCCGACAAGGGTCTGTTCCTGCAAACTACTCCTTACCTATGCTTATGTTCTGTATCTTGGCGCTACTGTTGTTGACGAAAGTGACCTCTACAGCCACCATAGTGGTCGAGTAGATACAGGTCGATCGAGGGAATCGGTAGGTCGCTGATAAACCTCCACTGTTGACCCGATTCAGAAGCTCAAAGGTCTCCTTAGAAGGAAACATAACTCCACCAGCCTGTATGGAAGATGAAAAGTATTGACGTAACTTTTTTAATCATTAGTACTATCTCATAGCAAATTGGCAACACGTCATGATAGAAACTAAACTAGCCTAGAATTGGTTGACTGCTTTGTTTCAGAGGCGTAACAACAATTCATGAACTGCATGTACTTTCATCTAGTACATGTACATGTATCATTAAGAGAAAAAGTACAATGCAGGCGCTATGTATATCTTCGAGTTTTAGCTTAAGAGGGAATTGTGAGTATTTGTAGAAAACACAAAACAAGTTCATTTGTGCAATAAATTTGAAAATTGCAGTTTGTTCATTGTGGCATTATGTGCAAATGCAACATATTCTGCTTTTCTTTCTACCAATTTTTGTGTTGATGATCCTAATTGAAAGCTAGATCAATTTTGAACTTCTTTCAAAGAATCACATTTATTAAAGGCAATGTTACACTTACATGTACAAACTACTGATACTGCTGTTTATGTAACATAAATTTGACAGACATTTTACTTTCTTGCATGAAGGTACATGTATCTAGTACCTCGAGGTGACTTCTGAGAAGTGTTTCTATGAAATTGTAAAAGGCTGATATAATCGTAGTGAAAATCTGTATTGAACACTGGCTGAGCATCTCAAAGGGAAAAGTCATGTAGAATCATCAATCATACATGTATCTGTATATTGTTTTAACCCAAGTTATTCTTAATTATACACATCTAGACACCAATGTGCTTTATGCTACTATAAACTACACACTCTATTGGCGTTACAAGTGTAGAAAAAAGGCCACCAAAAGCATCTACATGTATCCGCTAGTCTAATTATTTATCTAAAGTTTGATAATAAATAAAAATATTATTTGAAAATTATTATTATTACTATTAGTTATCAAAATATCCACAACAATACTATATCAGCTACAAATATAAAAAACAAAAATTAATAAAAACATACAAAACTGACCAAATATATTAAATTTCTAGAAAAAAAAAACAAATAAATAAATAAATAAATTACGTATACACTAAATAAAAGTACAAAATGCAAGAATAGCATTCTCTCCACATGCCCAATCACTATTTCTAAATCTAAACACAAATTCATTCAAATGATAGTGTTTGCCACTATTTTCCTTTTTTAGTTTAGTCAAATCATGAAGATGTCTTTAAAGCAAACACAAATAAAACATTAATTACCAGTGAAGAACCAAGCAAGTTTTGACAATAACCCGATCTTCCCACATGCTTTCATTGATTTTACTATCAGGAGTACCGGTAAATAACTCTTGCTGGGCTTTATATACATTGATTTCCTTTATTGATAATTTTATAGTCAAAACAAACTTGTCAGACAACTCAGAAAATGCCAAGTTCCCTTTGATTTGGAGCACAACAAGTTCTTGAAATGAAATCAAATATGCTGCAATATAATCTCATTTGTAATATTTCCTTGCATGAAACTTTTATAATGCCTCACAACTTTTGCATAACTTTCATGGATGAAGGTTCTGGTAATATATTGTTTTATTGTTTAATTTTTCAGAATGAATATGATGATCTCCAAGAAGATGCAAATGGACATCTTCCAATATCAATTGCAAACAAAATCGCAGTAAATACCTGTAATATATGCTAAATCACACTGCCTTTTTTTGGTAAAATCCAAGGACTATTTGAGCTTTTAACAAACTTATGTGTATGTCAAATAAGCTGAACATTTAAAGGCAGAAAGGGCAGATATTTTTGGGATGTACATGTATAATTTCTGAACATGAAAGCTATAAATATGAATATTGTGAGATATCTAAGAAATATGTTTTATCACTTATTAAACAAGGTACCATTATATAATATTCAGACACATTTCATGTACCACAGGCATATTTCATCTCATAAACTACCAGTCATCACCAATTCACCACCACCATCTTCCAACGATGATACAAATGATTTTTGCTTATCAGTTCTACAAATAAATAGGAACAGCTGTCAAGATAACACATAATTGATAATTCCCTTTCATGTTTATAAATCCTTTTTCCAATGAAAATATGGCTTATATATATGCAAACAAGCATATAATGATATAATAGACATGTATAATGATGAATACATTTCCACACGTGATAGTGGAAGGTTATCAAAATGCATAATTGTGAATGTGTGAATCCCTTTGCTGATGATTCTAGTAACTACAGTGAAGCTAAATCTATTGGATTGTCGAACCTATGTAAAATGCCTTCAGCATTTGATATTTGATAGAATTCTTTTATAATTTACCTATGACATTAATCAATAATCTTTTGCTGGTCCTTTTATAATGACATACTGCAGTTGTTTGCATGACAGACAAAGACTTTGTATTTTTTGGGGGAAAAATTAATCCACTTGAATTCATGCTTAAAAATCAATATTTGATTCTGTCCGTTACCAAAGAAAATTGTATAAAAACTTTAGAAGGTTATATCCTCAAATGTAATCAAACTGACAACAAATCTTTGATATTGGGTCAGTTTTTATTTGAAAAGATAATTCCTTGATTTTTTGTTGTTGTTGGGGGGGGGGGGGGTAATCAAATGAAATAAGACACAGGTTCAACACTCCAGATCTATTCTGTTTAATAGCTAGATGAGTGAATGAGCATGATATACTGTAAAACCAGACAATTTTGCATACATGAAATGCTTCAGATTCAGAGCGATACTTTTCCGTAATTTCGCGTAAGTTTCTTGTCATATTTGCAATTCACCAAAGTTTCATCTTGCAAAGTTTCTGGTTTTACAGTTAAAGTTGTCCCTCTTGAACCCATAATTGCACACAAGTCATTTCAAGAAGCATGGGATGCAATGATTGATTAAAACCATTCTTTCTAGTTCTAGGACCGGTTCTATTTTACCTTGGCCATCTGGGACATCTGCTCTGAACTCTGGTACAAAAAAACATGAAGAAATTCAAAACTTAGGACTTGAAGAAAAAATCAACAAGAAATGGTTGGCTTAAAGGGCTCTTCTCAATCGTGAACTCGCACATGCCAAAAATTAGGTAGTTCTCAAGCCAAAAAGTAGGAATACAATTTATTTTGTTCATGTGTTTTTTTACACAAAAGTTTTGTTCAGAATAGAGAGGAATCTTTGGTTCATAACATGAACATCGAATCAAGCTAAAATAAATTCAAAATGAAGTCATTCCTCCAAAATATGAATGGTTGGCAGCTTTGTGTATTTGATGACAACCAAATGAATGAAAAAGTATTCCATATACCAGCTAAAAAAAAAAAATTAAAAAAAATTCTTTTCTGGAATCAATCATTGTCCAATCTTAACTGAGTAAAATCGTGAAGAGCCCTAACCCTCCTGTGAATACATGAAAAACTGGAAAACAAGACCACTAAGGAAAATATCATGTTAATAGGTATTGAAATTGGGCTATATTTAGATGAAATACAGCATCATGCAGTCAGACAAATAATCAAAGATGGAAAGGGACTGACGTCCAGTTAGATAACACAATAAATCATGCAGAAAGAAGAAATGCACATCAACTTTGTCTATTTTTACTTGTCCTTTCCAAGTTAAATATTTTTCCAATTAATTCAATAAACGAACATAATAAAGTATGTTAAATTTCTAAGAAATTAAACTAATATCTTGAATTCCTTGCGCAAATCCATTTTATAACTTTCTATCCTTATTTATAAGAGTAAAATTAGACTGATATATATTTCAAATTGCTGAAATTTCATATATATAGGAGAAATATTTCTTGTTTATAGATTTTTAGTTCAATATCATTCTTTGTTGACAAGAAATTGAAAGCAACATCATAACCCATAATGGATGCATTTCCTTGCAATACATATCCCAGGATAAGGAGCATTTTCTCTCAAGTTTTAACTAATATCTTCTAAAAGTACTTGGTTTATTCAACAAGAAGTCATTTTGAAATATTAAATTTAAGTGCTAGTCACGTTCAAACTTAAGTATATCATTCAGTTAATGGGAATTGAGAGAGATATTAACATTTCACATTTATATCCCTAAAATAACTGTATGGTTGACAAAGTTCTGATTTTGGTTAGCTTCTGTATGAAAATGTTATATCAGGGATAAATTGCTCGCAGAAATTACAAGTAGAAGAAACAAAAATAACTGCGTAGAGTTAGAGCTACATGCATACATGTATGAGAGATACACATGTTAAGATACAGAAAATTTAAGTTTGTTAGGGGTAATCATAACTCATAGTTTAATCTTCTACCAACCTTAACATCTAGTAGGCAAGCTTTCATCCACTCCTGTGGACTTTATACTCAAGACTGAAAGAACTCAAAAAGCCCCAAGATTGGGTAATCCCTCTCAATCAGCAGTAGTAGAACACATAATTGACCAGTGAAAAAATACATGGGGGCTCGGGGCGAATTAGCCCCCGAAATGCCCAAAAGAGCCCCCGAAAGTCATAAAAGGCCCCCAAAATTTGCATAGAGTTCAATGCAAAACAAATTAAAGAGTGTTATTTTCATGCAAGCAAGCTTGAAAAGTAGCCCCCGAAATTTTTAAAGTATTTTTTTCCCTGTCATTGACACTGGGCATGCCATTTGGATGGGATGATGTCCAAGTTGAATTTGAAATGCATTACTGGAAGGTGAAAGAATCCATGTGAATCCTAAGGATTAATCCCTAGCTGAATAGAGATTCTGGCTATTAACTTTGCCCTAACTTCGCTCAGAGATCGTGAGGCAGCAGACAGCAAACAACTGTTTGAAATAATTACTTGGGCCTGTTGTGCACAAAACTTGCCATTAATGGTAACTACCATGGAAACATTGATGTTGATTGGCTGTTGAGCCTTGTTACCATGGTAGTTGCCATTGTGAAAGTCCACAGGAGTGGATGCAACCTTGAAGACTAGATTTTAATGTTGGTAGAAGCTTAGACTAGGAGACATGTTTAAGATGTTTGAGATGTTCTTACCAAAGGTTTGTCACTAAGTGATAATCCTTGAAGATCTTTGGCTAGGGTAGGAGTTAGCATGCTGGTGGGTCCTGCAGGTGTTACAGGCTGAGATGATTCTCCTGGTGGACCAACTAGAGAAACATAGAGAACACCTTAAAGTTATGAATCAACTAGAGAAAAATAGAGAACACCTGAAAGTTATGGACCAAGTCAAACTGATGGACCTACTGGAGAAACATAGAGGCTGTTCACACCGGCAGATATAGCGCGCGCTATTCCGCGCTATCTCTGCGGTGTGGAAGGTACAACGTCGTTTCAGTCCGCCCAACAGCAAGCCACGGCGAGCCAAAACGGCGTGCCACTGGAGCACCTCTTAGGGGTGGTCCACGAGAGATAGCGCGGCTCAGCGCGCGCTTGAAGAAAGGGGGTGCTACGATAGACCGCGTTATCTCATTGCGGTGTGAACAGCCTCATAGAGAGCACCAAAAACTTATGGGTCTAGTGAAGGATATTCATGAACTTATGGACTGACCTATCTAACATAGAGAGCACCTTAAACTTATAGACCAATTGGAGAAATGTAAAGAACTCCTTAAACTTATGGACCAACTAGAGAAACGTAGAGAACTCTTTAAAATTATGGACCAACTAGAGAAATGTAGAGAACTTCTTAAGTTGATTGACCACATGCAGAAATGTAGAGATCTCCTTAAACTTATGGACTAACTAGAGAAACGTAGAGAACTTCTTAAACTTCTGGAGCAACTACAGAAATGTAGAGAACTCTTTAAAATTATGGACCAACTAGAGAAATGTACAGAACTTCTTAAGTTGATTGACCACATGCAGAAATGTAGAGATCTCCTTAAACTTATGGACCAACTAGAGAAACGTAGAGAACTTTTTAAACTTATGGACCAACTACAGAAACGTAGAGAACTCTTTAAAATTATGGACCAACTAGAGAAATGTACAGAACTTCTTAAGTTGATTGACCACATGCAGAAATGTAGAGATCTCCTTAAACTTATGGACTAACTAGAGAAACGTAGAGAACTTCTTAAACTTCTGGAGCAACTACAGAAATGTAGAGAACTCTTTAAAATTATGGACCAACTAGAGAAATGTACAGAACTTCTTAAGTTGATTGACCACATGCAGAAATGTAGAGATCTCCTTAAACTTATGGACCAACTAGAGAAACGTAGAGAACTTTTTAAACTTATGGACCAACTACAGAAACGTAGAGAACTCTTTAAAATTATGGACCAACTAGAGAAATGTACAGAACTTCTTAAGTTGATTGACCACATGCAGAAATGTAGAGATCTCCTTAAACTTATGGACCAACTAGAGAAATATAGAGAACTCCTTAAACTACTGGAGCAACTAGAGAAACATGTTATCAAAAGTAACTTTCACTCAAAAAAACAAGAAATTTTTAAAAATTGCAAAAATTTAAGTGTTGTACTTTTTATGATTCATTAATTTGTGGATTGAAACTTTCGCAAAAACTGAAATTCTCATGAAATTTGTGAATGTTTCATGACTGTGGTTTCTAGTTTTAAAGTATCAACGATTCCTACATCATTTAGACAATCCCACATGCACATAAAATGACAACAGTTAATTTCTCTCAACTGAATAAATAAATAATCAAATTTCATATAAGAACAGAGAGAGAGACTTACAGTCACCAAAATCTAAGAGTTGCATTGTTGATTCAGCTTTCTGTTTTCCTTTCTTCTGCTCCTTGGATGATTTCTGTGGTGTTTTCTGGTAAAGAAAAAACAAAGAGAATAAAAATAAATATTTACATTGGCACTAAAAGAACACAACTTGCATCAGTATGATAGAAATTGCTTGATTTTTTGTTTCTATGTACAGTCAGTACTCTATGGAGTTTTCCGGTAGAAAAATACAAAATAACAAAATAATTATATCAAAATTGGTGCTAAAAAAACAAAAACAGTATGCATCGTCATCTTAAAATCTAACTGTTCTACTTGTTTAGTAATAGGGTAAAGCAAAACAAGATCTAATGTTCATGTCGATGCTATAACGATTACAAATGAATGACCCCCTAAAAATCTTACCCAGTACCGCAATGTACATTTTGTTTCCATGTACTACTACTTTGCAGTACAGATGCCCTTTCCATTGAATTAATTACATACTTGAAATACTACTGAGGCATTCAAATATTGAAATTGGCAACAAAAAAGCTGGCAAAGGCCAGTAATTTTTCCATTCCATTTGGTAATATGTGCTCAACATTTGAATACTCTCTGACAATATCAATTACAGACACAACATATTGAACAGAAAATTAATAATAACAAATAAAAATAACTTGGCAATGATTAAGAGATATTGTTTTTGCCAATTTGAGAATGAAAAACAGATTCAATCCTTCATACAATATATGTCATTGTCAATATCTACAATCTTCTGGCTGGTTACCTTTTTCACTGGTTTGATCTCCTCTTCACTCTCTGACTCGCTCTCCTCACTGGAGGAATCTTCTGATGACTCTGACGTGCTCTTCTCAGAATCTTCCGATGACGCCGACGCATCTTCACTCTCGTCTTCCTCGTCGCTCTCCTCCTCATCACTGCTTTCATCTTTGTCGATGTCAGAACCCGACCCGCTCTCCGATCCCGAGCCTGATTCACTGGCTTCTTCTACAATATGAAAGTAAAAGGTTTATGTATCAAAGAAGAGGTTTTCCATACTGCATAGAACAAAAAGTGCTCCGTAGCGCACTTAGTCATCAGAATAAGCCAGTTCGTAAATACTATCTGGGCACGGGCTGATAGAGGTAATTTGTTCCTAAATTGTAAAACTCATCGAGACGAATACTGGTATCGTGCTCATGAAAGTTATGTAATCAGTATTCATTTATGCACCAACTGTACATTTATCTGATACACAGGTAGAAGTATTCTTCTCAAGAGGCAAACAAAAGGTATTCATGAAGCCCCTCCATCACCTCGGCAGTGATTTTATTCTAAAATGCACAAGTAGGACGTATCCATCCTGTAAAAGATCTGTGGATATCGTGGGGTCATGCGTACTGAAGCTATTTAAGAACTCGCCTATTTGGTATGTTCCTACACCTTTTGCAGGGCTTCACTCTAGCTGTTTGTGTGAGAGGTCTGGGGCTGATAATCTACAGGGTCTGAATGCAGAAGGCCATGTTAACATTTTGACATTTTGGGGGGGTCGAGGTACCTGTTAGTGTTGAACCTTGCCTTTGTTTTCTAATATACTTTATTAATCGCTTCCAATATTTGTAATAATAATAAAAATAATAATAATAGTAGTATTCATCATAATAATAATAATAATAATAGTAGTCATAATTATAATAATAATAATAATAATCATAATAATCATTAATCACAATACCAATTCATTAACACTAATTAATATTATCTCTTACCTAAAGAGGATTCTTCTTCATCATCATCTTCTTCCTCGCTCTCCTCCTCTGAGCTGGAGTAGAAAGACTTGGTTGCTTTGGCTTTCTTCTTACTCTTACTCCCGGTTCTCTTCTCCTTCTCGTTGGTCCAAGGTAGGGCTTCCTGGAACAAATGAATGGAAACAAACCGATAAGGCAAATCTTCTACGTATGATATAATATCTACTTTAAACAGAAAACATAACTCAGGTGCTCTACTGTCAATTCATTTTGATATGTTTGACATCTGTTTGCATACACACCGTAATTCTAATATTCATTCAAACACTTTGAAATCTTGCCACAATGAATATCACATCGGGCCCTGTTTCAGAAAATTATATCAATAACAAGGCTCACACTTCTATTGCAGATTTGCTCTCAGTGAAGCAAATGCAACATTTTCGATAGAGTATTACAGTTATTGCAACTTATTATTGATAACAAGTTTTATGAAACAGGGCCCTAGGTCACTCAACTCTCTCTCTCTTCCTCTCTCGCTCTCTCTCTCTCTCCATCCCCCCTTGAGTCTATTCATAATGCAGTGCTTTGTGTCATTCTTGAATTAGAGCAATTTAGTTGCAAATAATCATTGAAGTCTCTAAACTGGCAATGCAGTACAAAATATAAAATCATTATTTTTCTGGACAAATTGGCAATTTCTCAATTTAATCAATCTTACATACTTTTATATTGGTCCATTTAATTAACTTTATTTTCAAACTATGAAGGAGTGAAAAATAAGATTAATTGTTGCCAAGTTGAGGAGGGAAAACTGATTAATTAGAAAATAAGAAGACACTGAACTACTATGGGTTGAGAGAAACTCTGTTGACATACCTCCACGACTCTAGCGCTTGGATCCGGGGCCTCTTCAGGGAAGTCTGGGAGCTCGATGTAACCTATGGCCTTTGCATTGATCATGTGAGAGAGAGAACCTAACTGGAACTGGTCCCGGTCTAAACCAAACATCAGAAAAAATAATGTCAATGAATTATAGACTTGTTGGGTGTGAACAAGCAGACAAGGTGATGAAAATACATGCATATTACCATTTCTAAGCATTTGTAAGTGTTCCTTTGTGGCCCCTTTTTTCAGAAGTAAGAGTTGCAGTACATTATCATGAGAAATTTGTAAAGCATGTCTATTATCTACAAAAACAAGTTCATCAAATGAGAGACTGTGTCATGCTTTTTATTCGTACAAATTTCAAGAAAAGTTTCTGTTCAAGTATCATAAATATATTTAAACACAACACTAAATTAGACCCATAAATAATTTACAATCAAGGCATTGTAACCCACTGAATATTTCTTTTTCATTACAGTCATAAAGGAATTATGTTATGTAATAACCAGACTAAATGTATGATGGGGAGCCCAATGTCTGCACACATAACATTTGAATTGATATTGACAAAGAGTTTTTAAAGATTCCTCTTGAGCTTAATCAGATATTATTCCTTACATTCTAAAGAGTAAGTGTGCCAATTTTTTTCTTCAAAATTCAAGCAAGAACAATGTCATTTTCACCTTTTTTGGCATTGCAAAATAAAAAGGTACCCATGTCTGGGCACTCATTCATTTTACACACAGTTATTTATTGTTGATCTGAATGACAGCACTTTGAGGCCAGTGAATAAAATGATCTAACTTAGACTTTTCTCAAAAGCTGTTTCTTGTTTTTCGCATATATATATATAAATATTAAATTTTGTGTTTGTTGCGCAGCACTCATTCAGTTTACACACAGTTCGTAACTGTTGCTGTGAAAGGTAGCACTTTATGGTGTGTAAATAAAATTACCTACCTTAGACTTTCTCAAAAGCTCTTTCTTGTTGTTAGCACAAATATGTATAGAGATGAAAATTTTGTATTCGTAGCGTGTTTTGCTTTATAAGAATTGCACAGTTTCATGTACAGTGGAACCTGTCTGTAGCGACCACTCAAGGGAAACACCAAAAGCAGTCTTTCTAGATCTTTGTAAACAGGTTCCTTTAGTACAAGTTTCAATGAGAAACCATTTCAAAGGGAAACATAAAATGTGGTCCTTGTACACAGTTGGTCTTTATAGACAGGTGGTCACTAAAGCAGGTTTGACTGTATGTGCAGACATGGGTGTTCTAGACCTATCTACTTTACCCTTGAAGACGGATTCAATGACAGGGGCTGGTTTGGTGGCTAGGATGATCTTCTTAGCATGTTTGGAGAATGTGGTGGTCTTATCACCGGGGAGGAGGAGATGTCGGAAGAAACGGGCGCGGTCTCGGATGTCGTAGTTCTGGTCATACTTGGCCAGGTTGAGCACGTACTGGAGCAGGAGTTTGGTCTGTGAGGTGAGAAGGCGATTGGTTCATTTTCATTATCATTATCATCGTTTTAATATTGAAGTTAGCCTTTTCATTCTTACAGGGAGTTACTGACTTTCGAACCATGACGACACTCCCTCCCTCCACTTCTTCTCGTCTCGAGCATCCTCTTCATTTAGACCAACCTTACTGCTTTCTTTGGTCACCATATCTTTCCATTAAATGTTAGATCTTTCTTACCCTCTTATGCCTTCCTTTTTCTTTCAAGGTATTTAATTCTAAACATCATGAGACTTGTCTCTATTTATTATCTAGAGATGGGGAAGGGAAAAAACTAATATAGAAGGAAAATATTTGAAAATCAAAATACTGAAATGACAAAATAAAACGATATTGGACAACCTTTAGATTTCAATATACAAAATCCTACGTTATAGGACTATCAAATTATCAAGTTATAATACAAGAATTGAATTAAAAGGCACGTCTTGTACAGGCTTGGTAACCATACAGTTTATCATAGGCCTGTATTATTACCTCATTTTTCTACCTTCGTATACCACTGCTGTAACATGTATGTATCCATTGTAAAAGAAACTGTAATTCAGTCTATAAGCCGCAAAAATATATATTTTTTTAATCTATAAACCTTTTAAAAATAAATTAATTAATAAATAAATGAATAAATTCTGTTGATATTCAAGCTCCTAAGAAATCATGGCAGAAATCTCTAGAAATTAATGAGTGAGCTTTGCCGAATAAGATAAACTCATAGAAGACACCATACCTGTTTGGAGTTGGTCAGGTAAAGCTTAGCTGCCAGGTTCAGAATCTGAAGTTTGACGATGTCTTCCTCGTTGATGAATCCTTTGGCCATCTTACGCAGTACATCAGGAGCCATCTTAGGTACGTTGTCAGAATATTCTCCAATGAGCCATAGAATACTGGCTCTAGCCATCGGTACCTGGTTAAAAACAGTAAAACAACTCAGCTTTAAAATTATTTGTATTGACAAATGACATACTTAAATGTATTTATGCATTGTGATAATAAATGTCATAATAATAACAATATTGGTGGCTTCTTATAGAGTGCACATGTCTGTCACACCGCGATGCTCCTGTCGCTCCAACATTATTACCCCGGTCATAGCTGGCAGCCAAAAGTATAGCGCTCTGGCACACCGGGTACCCACTTACAGTCATCTAAGTGCCTATTCTAAGGCACCTAAAAAGGGCATAAAATTTGAGCAGCTATTTTGAAATTCTAACAAAACCAAATAACCACGTAACATGGTCTAATCTTTTTGTTGGATGTCAGCAACTTACATTATAAATAATATGCACTGATTTGAATTTAATCATACACTTTTGTATTTCATACTTTGCGTGCCAGTATTTAAAAAAGAAGGTCATAGTTAAAAAGAAGCTGATGCAAATATAAATCCTGCTACTCACTGTGATGGCGTCGGCAAGTTTGGTCATGTGACGTATAATCTCCTTGTGACCTGTAGGGTTCATCTGTAGTAGTTTACGAATCACCACCACACTCTCTGCTACTACAGCCTCTGTTGATTCAACAACATTGCAAATATATGAATGTCACAAGAAAATTCTGCATTTTCTGGGAGACAATAGATGTACATTTATTAAAATTTCTCAACCTTTGTAGTTTTGAAAGTCAGTATTCATCAGCTGCTCTAATGCTACTGATCAGTCATCAGCATTATTTCATGACTGGCTGGTTAATCATTCAGTCGAAATGTCAAGTTGACTCCGGATCTACAAAATTTGGGATGGGGATATTTTATCATATGACAGGGATTCTGGTCACCATTATATAAAACAAATCATACAGATCAATATGTTCTGGCATTAGTGTAATCATCACTACTAAGTACCTTCAAAACATTCCAAACACTTTTCCCAAAGTACCTAGTATAGATAATTCTTATTATAAGATGATGAAGCGAATCCTAATCAAGCTGAGAGCATACACGTGACCAGGCATTATTTTGCCTAACAGGTAATCTTGCTAATGACCAGTCATTAGTAAAATCATGTTATAAAACATCATCCTATAAAACAAAATAATACACATAATTACCCACACTCAGTACCTTTAAAACAGTCCAAACACCCTCGGGTATTGCCTCAAGCATGTTAGACTGTTTCAAAGGTACCTTGTGTGGGTAGTTCTTACTAATGCCCTCACTGCAGTGTATTATTTGTATAAACTCACCGATATACAATATTTTGCTATAATAATCTGAATCTATATAGCGCTTAATACGAAATGCCGTCTCTAAGTGCTTTACAGTTGGTCATCAGATTCATTCATGCACAATGTACACCATCTCCAATCCCTGGAGAGTATTCCTACCATATGGTCACAGTTAAGGCATATGGCAATGTCTATCACAAAGGCTTTTATCATCCTACCAAGTCCCCCATTTGTTTCCTGGGTATGGAGTGGCAAATGTAGATTAATACCTAGCCAAAGGACATTAGTGCCGGGTGTGGCATCGAACCCACGACCTTTGCATTTCAGGTCCAGTGCTTAAAGCCCATCGGCACTAGTTTGGCCAGGGGAGTAGACCTCCCTGTAAGGTCACTGACAGGTGGTTATCTCATCAAAACAGCTCTCAATTAACAAAAGAAAAAGGGGATTATGGGGGACCAACAGGCACCGATTAGGCATTGTTTGCTATATAGAGGGCGCAAGTAGATATAAGTTGTGCAGTGGGGCTTTAAACCACTCAACTCACCATCTCTGTTTGACATGAGGCCCATGAGTCCATTCATGCAAGACTCTGTCACTTCTTCTATGTTACTTGCACATCTCCCGATGGCCTGTATGGTAGCTGCTACAAACGCCTTGTCTGAACTGGTCACATAGGTCTACGCATTTGAAAAACACATTGGAAATAAAAGCGATGACAAGTGCTACAAAATGTAAGAATACATGAAGCAGTGAATAAAGACATACTGAAGGTTTTTTTTAAATCTTGCACACATCAGAATAAATGGTAAAATGAACTGGAGGCTGAAACCAGCTTCTCGTTATTTCTGGCAGCTTTTCAAAGCCGATCTAATCAATTACATACATGCATGTACAGTGTACTATGTTTTACATTTGCTTTGCCAATGCATTTTTAAAAGAAGTTTACTGCATCACATATGAAAGGGGCTTACGACTCATCAAATGTTAATCTGGTGGCGCTAATTTGAAACAATTTGTACAAAAATGATGACAATTATCTAAAAAGGTAAATGTACACACCTGCAATTCTCTGAGTATGGTTGAAATACTGGTTCCACTGGCAATGTTGGTCATGATCTCCAGCTTGAGAAGACGGATGTGGGTCGCGTCGCTGGAACGGACGAAGAAACTCTTGAGGAAAGGTTCAAACATACCCCTGCGGTTGGCGCTCATCGTGGCTACGTTGCTCAGGACGACAGATTGCACTTCCCTGTGTAGGATGAGGAAAAAAAATCATTGTAATGAAGGAAGGCACTGTGCTTTTTAGATGTGACTCGGCATAGAACAGAGCAATATCTGACGCTAATCTTAAACTATAGAGCTTAAAAGAAAAAAAATCAATGAAGATGATTTTGATGATGATGATGATGATGATGATGATGATGATGATGATGGTGATGATGATGGTGATGAGATGAGGATGAGGATGATGATGTTGATGATGATGATGATGATGATGATGAAGATGATGATGATGATGATGATGATGATGATGATGATGATGATGATGATGATGATGATGATGATGATGATGATGATGATGATGATGATGATGATGATGATGATGATGATGATGATGATGATGGTGATGATGATGGTGATGAGATGAGGATGAGGATGATGATGATGATGAAGATGATGATGATGATGATGATGATGATGATGAAGATGATTTTGATGATGATGATGATGAAGATGATGAAGAAGATGATGATGATGATGGTGATGATGATGATGATGATGGTGATGATGATGTTGATGTTGATGATGATGATGATGATGATGATGGTGATGATGATGTTGATGTTGATGATGATGATGGTGATGATGATGATGATGTTGATGATGATGATGATGGTGATGATGATGGTGATGATGATGATGATGATGATGATGATGGTGATGATGATGTTGATGTTGATGATGATGATGATGGTGATGATGATGGTGATGATGATGATGATGATGATGATGATGGTGATGATGATGATGGTGATGATAATGGTGATGATGATGGTGATGGTGATGATGATGAGATGAGGATGATGATGGTGATGATGATGGTGATGGTGATGATGATGATGATGATGGTGATGATGATGATGATGTTGATTATGACGATGATGATGGTGATGAGATGAGGATGATGATGATGATGATGATGATGATGATGGTGATGATGATGTTGATGTTGATGATGATGATGATGGTGATGATGATGTTGATGTTGATGATGATGATGATGATGATGATAATGATAATGATGTTGATGATGATGATGATGATGATGATGATGACGAAGATGATAATAATGGTAAGAATCATAATAATGATACTACTTCCACTACTCATACCAACTATGATTACTCTCTATTTATGTAGTTCTCAATACATCTACAATGTCTCTAAATGCTTTACAGATATTATGAAAATATTAAACATTAGAGCATCCTGAATATCAGATTCGTCCAGAGAATTTGCAACTTTAGACTTTCACGAGTTGTAAGTGGCCACCATATCTGCAGCAAGAAACCTTAAAGTACTGCAAAAGGTCACATTGTAATTCAATCTTTTAGGGACATGAAATGCTAAAAAAACTTGATCAAATACCAATTCATGAAAGATTCTGAGTTTATATGATCAGGTGTGAAATTTTAAGGCAAGCAGTTAGAAGAAAACTTTGACTACTTGACTACTAACAAGAAGCTTCCCGCTTATGATGTAGGCGAATATGATAAAAGTACATTATAGATTATACCTGTGGCTTCTGAGTAGTCTGACCAATGGCTTAGCAATGATTCCTACTTCATTCTTAGGAGCAATGTGATGATAGAGTTGAGCTACTGCCATTACAACCTGTAGGCAAAGAAACAGACAAGAGATCGAGTGACGGTGCATCAATAATTTCCGGAGCACACAGACATTTGGTGAATCATGAAAGAATACGTGTCTGGGATCAAAATCTTCCTCCAAACCCACGATTATGTGTGAGTAGAGAAAAATGTTGTATGGTTATATATGTGCAAGATTTATTTGAGATACTACTATGAATGTGCATTTACATTACTGGTAGGCACAATCAATCACAATATTACTCAGATATATTAAATAAGGCTGCTTACATACATGTGCAGGTTAATACAATTGAGCATAAAATCGACCTGAAATTGGAGCAGAAGAGTTTTGTAATCTGGATATCCCTAATTCTCTGTCTCCTACATAGTTATTCAACGTTCTATATTAGCTGTGCAAGACAAGTGGAAGTGGGCTCTCGTGGGAAATTTTAACAACCAATAACAGGTGTTGTCATTTGCAAGGATTTATAGCCTTCAGTTTTATGACCAACAGGCCTTATGTAATGCTCTGCATTCTCCGCCAATCTCCCCATATAGAAGAGTTCTCATATTACATTTCCCTGACTGGAAGAGTCTCCAAGAGACTAGGGGGTATATCTTGATGGGACAACGATTTGCTGTGTGCAAGACTTGTACTTCCATTAATACAAATATGACTATAATTATTATTATTGTTATTATTATAAAGAGAACTACTTGAAGCTCAACAAATTGACCTTTGACAGCGTACACTTGCACGTGGCGCAACTATAACTCTCAACATGCTATGGTGTCATGCAACCGCTTACCGAAGCATTTCTGCTCTGAAGGAGTGGCTTGACGCTGCGTAGGAGTAGCCTGTGATCAGCATCCATGATGTACGGCTTCTTGACCTCCTCCCCATCTTCCTTTGCTTCTTTCTCATCGCTATCTTCGTCGCTGTGCTCGGAGCCATAGAAAGAGCGCTCTGCTTCTTCTTGTATCATATCCTATGCACGATTGGATAAATAGAAATGAAATTAATCACATCATCTTTCAACCTGTACCCTGCAACTAGAGCTTCCTTTTAGCATTTCTTGCCACATTTCTTCCTCTCTTTCTACTTTTTTTTTCTTTCCCCTCTTTAACCCCCCCCCCCCCCCCTCTCCTCATCTCCCTTTCTCTCTCTCTCTCTCTCTCTCTCTCATCCTCTCAATTTATCTGCATCTGTCTGTCTATTCCCATCTCGACTATAACATGTTTTTCTAACACAAATTTCCATTTTAAAGCAAATGATTTATCATGAGCATCAATATTACGGCACAAAGAATGACATAAACACCATTTACAAACCCAATTTGTCAACATTATTTTATGTTCCCCAAGCACTGTTGAATAAAACTCTTTGTTTTGTTCTTGTTTTGTTTTTGTTTTTTGTGTGGATGTTTTGGGGGAGTATTTCGTTTTAGATTCAGGTAACGATGAACATCAGCGCCTCTGGACCAAAGTCTTCCAATAGCATTACACCAAACAAACGGGGTCAAAGGAACATAATGTCCATGGCTTACTAATGACGAATTACATAGGTAAAAACTATCTTTTTGTTTATGTCTGGTATTCAACAATATGGAAATCTTTTGAATTTCTACTCACGGCTTTGTTGGGGTCTAGGAACTGTGTCCTAGAGTATCTCGTAAGCATGTTGATGATGATGACCTGACCCCACTCTTCCACATCAATCAGCAGGTTGCACAGCTTGCGGAAATTCTTGTGGATGAGGTCGATTCGCTCGGGGCAAACGTCTTCAAATGCCATGACCGTACTCCCAGCTACCAACTAGAAATTATCAAAGTGAACAAGAACAAGATAATTTTATGATGATAACGGAGGTGTCGTGGTATGGTTCATTCACTCTCAACCCAAGGGTTGAGGGTTCAAGTGTATACGCATGCATTAATCAGTCTACTTAACAACAGCAATATCTCTTTGTAGAAGTAATATTTGAACTTTGTATTTTGAATTCAGTATAGCGACATAGCACCCCTTACATCAAGAGCAAAACATCGTCTTGGTGATTGTTACACCTCAATGATTTCCATCTAATAAAGAAATACACATTTTCTTTTTGGATTATATACAAGGACATGCTCTTATCAACTGCCAATCAATATCAACTCACTGTAGTCTTGTCAGCCAGGAGTTTCTCAATCACTTCCACAAGTTGATCTTTCTGTTCTGGATCCATGCTGTATGGAAAATAAACAGATAGGGATGGAGGAATTACTTTACATTACAAGACAAATGCAATTATTTATGCTGTAGCATGGGTATGTATGCCAGTACTCTCAGTGAAACTTTAAAATACAGCATGGAGTATGAAGAAAAAAATTGTTGTTTGTAAAATGCACTGCAGTACTGGTAAGGGTCATATATGTGTAGGGGCAAAAAGCCTACATGAGTGATTTCTCCATGGGAAAGAACCTGCTTTAGTAACCACCTGTCTACAATGACCACATTTTTTTGTTTCCCTTGAAAATGGTTTCTCATTGAAACATGTACCAAAGGCACCTGTCTACAAAGACCACTTTGTGTGTTTCCCTTGGATGGTTGCAATAGACAGGTTTGACTGTAGCAAGATTGATCTAAGTGAGAAGGTTGCTCAAGACATAAAGGAGTGGGGGAGGGAGTGGCATCATAGCGCAAAAGTCAATAATCCCTTATAAGTGGGAAAATGCTGACTTTAATAAAAGTTGATTATGATGATGATAAAAATAAAAATATCAAGAAATGAAGTGATATTTAACCAGCTTGTATTCATAAGTTTTGCAAACAACCTATCAATCAGAGACAATGGACAGTGATACTTACTTATACAGCTTTGGAATGGCATGAGCGGCAGTTTTGCGGACATATGGTGACATGTCATTGACACTTTCCTTGATGGCTAGCATCATGATGGGTACAATCATATGAACACGGATACTGGAGAGAACACGAAGGGCCGATGCTCTAATCAGCTGGTTGGGATCCTAGACAGATAATACAATGAAATGAAGATATGTAATTGATAGAATTAGAACAAATTTCACTTTCCCTGATGGCTTGTATCCACTAGGCAGAGATGCCAACCTTCATCAACGAAAAAAAGTATTCTTAAGAGGAAAAAACAGTATTTTTTGAAAAATCTCTCAACTTAACATATCGCCCAATCGAGTAGCTTAGAAAAAACGTATAAGACCCCGGATCGGAGCGCAACGTACAGTACACGTGGGTTGCTTGCAACGTGCACAGTTTTGGGCCCATATCACCATCGTTTGAAGATGTAGGTGCATAATACACATACGACACAAAGCCAATCATCGGGAATTAAGAAAAACAAATTAAAAAAATATTTAAAAAACGTAATAAAACATACAAAAAACGTACCGCCGTATTCATAGCAAAAAGACGGAACAAATACGGCAAAAACGGAACGGTTGGCATCTCTGGCTAGGTATATACATGTACACTGTATCTCTAATGGACATGCAAGAAGTAAAAAATTGAGAACAAATGAAAGATAGAATCCAAGATGAACAGTGGGTTCACAATACTGATTATGATTCAAAGATAAAATGAAATATTTTAGAGATGAAACCATGCTCAGAATACCATCCACGGAACTGACGTTATTTTTATCTGTTATTCTTTTATATAGTTGTATGTTGGAAGCTTGGCGATTAAAAATTAATCAATCAGGTTAAATCCTGGGTTTAAAAAACGCCCATTTTTCATGTTGCAGCATATTGGTCCTGCATAGGCAGACTGAGATCTTACCTTGAGCCCTTTCTGGAATGTACTGATAGATAACAAGGCTAGGTCTTGCTGCTCCTCGGCATATCGGACCAGGTAAACATACACCAGCTTCTTGATCTGAGGAGAGAGAAAGGAAGGAAGAGAGGTTAAGAGAGAGGGGAACGTGAGAAGGAGAGAGTGAGATTGGGAAGAAAAGAGAGAGGAAGAGGGAGAGAGGGAGGGAGGGAGGGAGGGAGTGAGGGAGAGAGAGAAAGGGGGAGTGGGATTGGGAGAGGGAGAAAGAGAGAACATTCGAGATTGGGGGAAGGAGAGAGAGAGGGGGGAATGAAATTGGGGGAGGGAGAAAGAAAAAAGGCGTGAGATTGGGGAGGGAGAAAGGGAGAGGGAAGGAGAAAGATGGAAGGGAGAGAGAGAGAGAGCAATAACTTAATTACACAGTGTGACGTTACTGCACATATATTCTAAAAATCAATGTTTAACTGAATTTTAAGTTAAAGTTTTGTAACAAATAAAGAGAGAGAGAGAGAGAGAAAGTAAAAAAGGGGTGCAGGAAAATAAACAAAATCTTACAATTTTATTTGTTACCTTCATATCAAGTAGACCCTACTGAAATAGAATGGATGACATGAACAAGCAATCTCAATCTTACCTCTATATTCTTAGAGACCACATTTTTCACCACAGCTGCGAAGAGATCTGATGCATCTTTCCCTTTAGCTATCATCTGCAAAGTCATGAAATATGGAAACATCATGAGTCAAGTAATCCATATCACGGACATGCAACTTCACACAGATTGCTAGGACACAGAAGGTGACATACTCTCAGAAAAATAGTTTTCAGTGGAGCTGGAGCATAAACATATACAAATATCTTTTGGCGAGACATTCATCTGCATTTTTTACACTCTACCCATGTGATGTAAATGGGTATATTCCTGCATGCTTTGAGCGCCTTTGCATGGAAGCTCAGCAAAAGCCTGGGTAATATAGGATGAGATTAAAGGGCCCTCAGGGAGAACAGTATTAGTTTACCCAGGGTAAACAAGACATATTATCATTAAAGTATTATTAACAACTTAGACTTGCCAAATGAGAGTAATACTATCATACTATGTTCCACTTTTCATCCATTGGCTACAAGAACCGGGAAAGGGGGTGGGGCAGGGGACGGGGGCTCCTGTATTAAGCTTATGGAAATGACATAATACAATGGATTAATGAATAGCTTGGGGATGAGAGAGAGAGAGAGAGAGAGAGAGAGAGATAGGGTGGAAGAGAGCAAAGAGACTTTGGATGAAACAAGGATATATTCTACTTTTTTGTATTTGTTAAACACACCAGAAGAATGACTTAATAATTCTGAACCCTGGGCAGTCAGATAAAAGGGTCATCTCGTTCATAATGTATTACAGCCTACAATATTTGTGTACAATGTAGTAATGATTGAAATTTCACACATGCATTCTTCATGCCATGAGCAAGTTTCCTGTACCTCTCTATGAAGAGGAAGTAGAAAGTACCAGAGTACTACAGATATTTATCATCAAGATTGGAAGGCATGGATCAAGCATTCACTCCATACTCATTCATACAATGCACATCCTCATGATTGCATTTTAAAATGTACCAATCACCAAAAAATACATTGTTTCGTGTGTTAGTAGCTCCATGGGGTAATAATATATTCAAAATATGAATTCCAAATATAACTTCTGAAAACAGATTTTGAGAGATTAAATTATAAAAAGATTAAAATAAAAGCAACTTGTGAGGAGGCTACTTCACGCATCCGTACACGCTAACATAAAACAGTGCCCAGACAATTTGATGTTATTCTTTATTTTCTTATACATATATATAAATCCATTAGCCTATACTAGTGAAGAATTTAAATCTTCCTGTCATTAACAACACACTTACGCCAATAATGCGCTTCATAGCTTCCAGTTTCAGCCCATCTTTATTCCCATCCAGCATGGCTTTCAGATCCTCATGCCTATAAATAAAAGCATAACAAATTTTAAAAGAAACAAAAGACAAATGTTATGATGTTTCATGTTACTACAACAAATATGCAGATCCACAGTACTGTAAATATCATGGTTATGGTAGTCTAAAATAGGACAAAGGCCATTGACCAACTAACTGTCTGTAATACTGCACGTCAAATGTTTAGCTGTTGTACGAACCTGTGTGAGATTGCAGTACCGGTATGTCATGTGAGGCTTACACTGTGATACTGTTAGTGGAGGTTAAGATGAAAATGGCTGATCTACATGAACCTTTGGCTCTGTCTTATGGAATTCATTTCAGACATTTCTATATCATACAATTAAAAAAATACATGTGTACAGTGTAGCATTGTGCATTGACGCGAGGAGAGGTAAGTCTGCTACTGCTAGACTCCACTTATAATTTGTATACTTCTTTGCGGGCTATAAAGTTGGCCTATTAAACTTAAGGAACTGAGGTTTTCTTATCAGTGATGCTGACACAAAGACAAAACAATATTTTAGAATGAATTCTTTTTTTTACATCAAATCAATTAACAAGGTTCTAGGAGTTTTGTTACAAATGATGCTTGTTTTCATTCATTCATCACACAATTCACAAGATCTATCCAGTACGCTCTCGTTAAGGCTGTTTATATGCATCTAGTCTAGATCTAGACCTAGAAGCCCTACACCTGGCTTCGCTTTGTACAATAGATTATTAGACCCTAGATACAGCCAGATTTACAGCCTAACTCACATAATCGCATGAATCATTTGAATTGTAATATTTTGTATATTCCATTTACTTAATGAAATAATCACATTGACATCATAGAGTTATTTAGTTAGATCTGTACATTCTACTTGCTTCATGGACCATGATGGACATGGTTTGTGATCTAAGTTTCTGACACTACCGGTGACTACACTGACTGCACGGTACGCCTACACAGAAACAGTTAAATTCCCTTACTTTTTGTAATCCGTGGCGAAAAATCCTCCACTTGCTGGATCAGCTGCGATATCAGCCTCTCCTGATCCAGTAGAAGGGGTCTTTTCGTTAGCATACGACCTGGATGAGTCCGCAGCCATTTTCTCGTAGTCCTGTGTGAAGAATGACATTAAAATAAAGGATTGTAGCTATAGGTCGTTGAATTACATTAATGATGCGAGATGCTATTATATTTATAACGTAGCGTATAATTCCACACAGAGACCGTATACAGCTAGTGTGTGCCACCCAGCGCAGCGCGAGCGAAGACTACCCAGTCAAATACCACACGTATACACGCCGCGCCCCCTAGCTACTACATGTACTCCACGCTCATACACAATTTTCTATGTTGTTATTCTTGCAGCTGCGGGCCTGAAATATAATACCACATAGAAGTAATAGAACACAAACATATGGCATGCTTACTAAATTCAGTGCAAAGCATATGACTATCCATGTCAGAAAACAAAAAGAAAACCAAATTTGTGAATAAAATATTCACGAAAATAAATTATGTTAAACAAAATACACAACTGCATTTATATAAAAAAAAAGGAAAACATAAATTCATAATAAGAAAGTAAAGAACATATAAGAAGAACGCTATATATTACCCAACGTTGCATGATGGAATCACTGGATGACTATTTGATGATATGGTTATTTTTGTATAATTTTGATAACTGCAAAGCCGGATAAATTGTTTGAACAGAACAATTGGCTTTCCGACTCAAAACCAAACCAAGCTGATCCATCCGGTGTCTACTAGGCTCGTGATGGTATGAGCCTCTAATGGAGCGATCACTAGTACAATGCCCTCTCTCACGCACTCTCTTGTTATGTGTCTTTTTATTCAACGATCAATGCATATTAAGTGATTACCAACCAAGTTACCTATTTGCATACCATAGGGTGGGTTTGGCCGGAGGCAAATCAATATTTGCGCTGTGCATGTCCATGTAGTCTAATTGATTTTCTTGTTATCTCTCTCAGGCCATCGATGGCGGAGGAGACCACGGCATGTACCCTGGTCCGAGTCCGGGGTTTAATAGAACTCTATTTTGTTGCAATTTGATTTCAGGATTAGGGTTAGGGTCAGGTTTGGCTTGGTTTTGGTTAGAGTGAGATCGACCTAGAAGCCCTATGCCCACGGCTGTATACATTCCTCCCATCATTAATAGGCTACTCCTAAATGACTGACGAGGGTAATCATGCCTACTTCCAAAGACCCTGTAAAGCGCGCGCTTTGACCATCGGTGGCGCGCCTGATATTCGGACTCAGAAGGAGTTCCTAATAAGAGGCCGCGAAAAGAATTGCAGAGCCAAACTCTTGATCGCCAAAAATTGTCAATAGGAGACAAAAGACAAAAGACAACTTCACGATTGCGATTGGACTACCAGGGATGAAATCGCGGATCATTTTTCAATCCTTTACGTGGAACAAGATACTGCTATTATTAAAGCAACATATACTAGCTGTGCAGTTGGGTGTAACAGTCTGAATTTTCGAGCGAGCGAGCAAAAATGTTAAGATTTGTGAGGTCCCACGGGGCAAAAAAATAAAGAAGGAAGAAAAAAAACCTGATGGGTATTTAGCACCATCTAATGAAGAAAGAGTGAAAAGTTCTTTCATAAGTAACATACTTATAGAGCATCTATAAATGGGAGGGAGCGTAGCGAGCGAGCTCTAGGCAAATGAAAGAAAAAGGGGCTCTAAATCACCTTGAATTAGGGGTGCATGTTATGGAAAAGTAAAAGGAGGCACTTATCAGAAGGGAAAGGACAGTTATTAGAAAAGAAAAGGTGCTCGTGTCAAAGTAAAAAGGGCAAGGTGAAAATGGCACTTCTTGCAGCTGAAAAGGGACAATCAACAGATGTTAAAAGGGGCATTTTGATAAGGGGGAGGGGCTCATATAAAAAAGGGGGGCACTGCCTAAGGAAATATACCATTAGAAAGGAAAAGGGGCACGTGTCAAAATAAAAGAGGCAATTATAAGAGGTGAAAAAGGGGCTTTTAAGAGAAAGGGAAGGGGGTTCTTCTTAAGAAGGAAAAAGCACACTAATTAAAAAGGAAAGGGGCACGAGTAAAAATAAAGAGGGCAAAAATATCGGAGGTGAAAAGGGGAATTTCTCGCACCTGAAAAGACGTACTCGCCAGAAATAAAAAGAGAGGAAAAGGACATTTATTAGAAGAGAAAAGGGGCACTTGATCTTTGTGAAATGGGCTTTTGGGGAGTACCTGAAAAAGTGGGGGCACAAGACGTGCCCCCACTGCCGAGTGCCGCCTCTGGCATAATGGGCAAAAGTGAGAGAAAAAACCCGGAAAATCATGTCATTTCAGCAACACTTGTATACCACTGGTATCGAATAAGAAATAAACCACGTTTGAATTTTATTTGGGGGGTCAACGAATTGTGTAGACCAGCGTTTTCAACCTAGGTGCCGCAAGACATAACGGGGTTGTCGCACGATAAATAATTTAGTTATATACGTACAGTTTATTTTGGAATAACGTCAATTTCGTGAAAACAAAATACCGCTATGTTTTTTCATAAGGAGATAATATTTCAAAAATGATTACTATCTTCCTCGCTTGCTTTACTCGTTCGAAACATTTAGGAACAGGATGATTTCAAGCAGCGAAATGCCTTAATACCCTCATATTTGGAGGTGCCCAAATGTTCTTCTCTACGACAGCGGGGTGCCCGAGTATCGTCATATATTCGGGCAGCAAGATGGATGCCCGAATACATCTTAGGCCTGCATCTTTTTTACCTCACAATTTCAATTTTACCACCCTCGTTCGTTCCACTGATAGCACGGCGTGGGTGAATGATTACAAAATTAACAAAAACTGATGATGATGACGATGATGGTGATGATGTTGATGACAATGATGATGAAAATGAAAATGAAAATATATTGATGTAAATGTCTGACACAGACAACTTACATAAGTAGGCCTATACGGGAGTTATAACATATAGTATGATATAATTTTGTATTCATGTATTCGGTAGCAAGGTGTATGCCCGCATGCGCAATTTTCATATATTATTTTCATGACCGTCTATTTTAGTGCATTTTCATTAAATTTCTACCAAATTAATTTCTTTTTGCTCGATCGCTTCGCTTTCTCACAAATCTTCGAAACAAAATTGCCTGTAGGTTTATGTTTACACTTGATGGGTGCCAGACTGATGCAAAATTTATCTTCTGAGATAAATTTGGGATTGGGGGGGGGGGGGAGAGAGAGAAGCATTAGGCAACGTTAGGAGAAAGAAAATTCTATGGAGGCGGGGGGGGGGGGGGGGGGGCTCGAGGAGGTGGGGATGCAATGTCTGTAGTGAGCACTAATTCTTGTTTGGCCCTCGAAAGTTTGAAAAATCGCACCCCCCCCCCCCTTGACCGCCAGGGGGAGGGGGGGCATCTCCAAAAATGGTAAAATTAACATGTTTTCCCTCCCGGGGGGGGGGGCGGGCCCCCTGGATCCGCCACTGCATAGGAGGGACAAGCATCAAATTTCGTGTCGAATTTTAGCTTGATTATTGTGGTAAGGTAAACTGAAATTGATGAAGAAAAACATGTACCATAAATTATAGTAGATGTAGCGTAAATAAGAGGACACACTGATTTTTGTTTTGTTTCTGTTTTGTGTAACGCTGTAACAGGTGTAGTATAACTATAAGGGCACATCAGATACTGATGCAGGGGTGGATCTAGGGGGGGGGGGGTTAGGGGTTTTTACCCCCCCCTACTGGTCTGGCCATTTTTGTTTTAATGTCGGGGGGGGGGGGCAATTGATTTTTTTTGTAGTGCTTTCCACCCCCCCCCCCTCCCCCGAATGTTGGTCGGCACTTTTTGAAATTCGGGGGGGGGGGGGGGCAAAATGAAGATTTTTTTCTGGTACCCCTGCCCCCTACCCCTACTGAGCGAAATATTGGTCGGCGCGTTTTTCAAATTTGCTGGGTCAACCCCCCCCCCCCCCCCTTAGCAAAAAGCTAGATCCGCCCCTCTGATGGATTGGGGAACCTGCAAGGTCACTGGCAACTATCTGTCATGCAATTATCTCAAGTTTACATTAAAAACAAGTTATAACATGTTTCATAAACCAAGGGAACAAGGACTCAAATACAGGAAAGGGGATTCTCTTTACGATGCTGATTGGTTAATGAAATACGTCTGAGGAAGAAAAAAATGACCGGGGGAAGGGGTCTATCATAAATAAAGTGTAAACAAATAAAAAAGAAGACAAGAAATATAGAAAAGAAATATACACGAAACAAAACAAATCTGAACAAAACAAAACAACATCAAATAATAATCATGAAAGGCAAAAATAAAAAAATGTAAGATTTTAAAGCAAATTGACTTGAAAGATTCAAACGTTTCCAGGGGAGGGAGGCGGGGTGCCTGGGCGAAAACAGACACATTGGCAGCATTGCATGGGTCAGTTTGATGAGAAACCCCTGAGAAACTGATTGTGGGAACAAGAAAATCAATTGGAATGGTAGAGTCGAGTAGATCTACAATGTCTTTCAAACTTGGCGATGACTAAATAATGAATTGAAATGAGGTAATTCATTTTATATGGAATCATATTTTATTCTTTTACCCACTTCAAATCACATGCCTATGATGTCATTTTCAATCTATTATCTTGTGGACACAAGATCTAGAGCGCATGCTCAAATCTATGTGACACGACCAGAGTATCCCATAATTCTCAGCACTATTTGGCTGCACTACAACTTCCGCCGCCTAATCTGTGTGTCAATTGGGAGGTGTTACCCAGCTAAACATTCGAGAATTACAGCTTATTGGAAACAGTTATTTTACATTCGTGTGATTTTTCCAGCCAACTGAGAGCAGGGGAAACACTTAAGATGTCTAACTTTGACAGCAATCCCTTCGCAGATCCTCAAGACTCCAGTCCGTTTCAGGTAAGCCGCTAAGCGGAGTAAAGTGCAGGGGTAGGCGCAGGCACAGGCCCACCACTAGTGCAAAGACGGCCGCGTCTCTGCAGACTCCAGTTTCTGGCTCTGCAGGTAGCGGCTGCTGTGCTGGGCGCTGGCTTGAAGCCTTGAGCGCTAGCTGAGCTGAGCTGAGC